GTATCGTCTTTGATGACAAAAATAAATGACAGCTTATCATTCATTTATCTTATATGATTAATGCCGTTTCTACCAATGTAAATTAATTTTAATCTCGGTTCACAACTTACTTTTTTTTAGTTTCAAGAATTAAAAAAAGATGAAGATCAAGTGAAATTGAAATTAAAAATACATTGGTGGAAACGGGCACAAGTTATTTTTCTTTTAAATAGTCAATAATTTGTAAAATAAAAATTGCATTGAAATTAATTGTATGAATAAATGTGGACTTTTAGATTGCGTCGAAAAGCAAATCTTTCTGTTTTTACTTCACGCTAAAAGTGTTCGCGTCACTTTCATTTGTATGATCCTAAAATATCCATTTCTACCAATATAAATTAACTTTAATTTCGATTTAATTTACTTTTTATCCTTTTCTAATTCTTAGAACTAAAAAAAAGATCAAAAGTAAGTTAAACCAAGATTAAAGTAATTTATAATACATTGGTAGAAACGGCATAAGATATACGTTCTTTGACTGGATCACCGAGAATTGTCGTGTTACCGAAGACAGCTGAAATTGTCGGCGATTTATGAGATGTTCACGGAGAGATGCTCGCTAGCCATGACACGGGAAATCGGAGCGGAGGGATCGCAGAGAGAGACCGGACATACCCTACGGCTACAGTAAATCCGAAAGTTCATCGGATGCCGTTGCAGTACGAGACTTTGCTGGAGTATCGGCACGTTTTCAAAACAAGGCACGTCCCACGAGGCACGTCGAACGCATCTGCGTTCATTCGTCACGCTGCGCTATTAACGGCAAATTTAGAATTGGAGATTTTTATGGGGATTCCTCTCTCTCTCTCTCTCTCTCTCTATCTCTCTATCTATCTATCTCTCTTTTTCTTTCTTTCTTTGCTTTTCCCATATCCCGTAAAGCACTCTCATATATCGTCGATGTTTTGCCACGATAGATCGTCACCCGATACCGACGTCGCTCGGCGCTTCTGAAGGATCCTACAATACCGTGTCTTCCTTAAAAGTCACGTCGTAAAGCACAGCCCGCAGTTCACATAAAACCGCGCGCTTCATTATCCCGAGCTTTCGCAGCTTCGCTGGAAGGCGCATACAAAAGAAGCGCAGAGATAATTACAATGCAGATGAAAGGGTTCTTAACGCCACAGCTTCTGCTCTTTTTCTCACAGAGACTGGCGACAGCTTTTCAACTAGCTGATCACATATTAATTAGTCTTCTCAGTAGTGAAGACTAATTAATATTACATCGTATAATCGCGATCAATATATTGAAGATACAACTGTAACTCTGTATTCTTTTTGCGCTAAAAATTAGACAGTTATATAATCACAGGAAAAATAAGTATGATATTAAAAGTGTAAGCAAAAACAATAACGTTAATAGAATACTTAATAAATAATATAATTAATATAATATTTAATATAGTATATAATAAAATAATTAATAAATTAAATTTAACAAAATGTAATAATTAGAGAAACATTACTGGTACAGAGATAAGCAGTCATGTAAATAAATTAGTAGAGCTTATGAACCATGCATCTGCGGTATTTAGTCATTCGCATAAACTAAATTTCCAGCAAATTCGAGTTTATCTTCCTTCAGATCGGTCGTTTGTCACACAACATCGCCAGACATCGCCAGACATCGGTTGGTTGTTCATGGACTATTTGTTCGCACGGCTGTTTCTTTAACACGCATACATTTCCCGGTGCAGATCCGCGTCGAATTTCAAAGCGCTCTCTCCTTGTATCCCCACTGGCCAAGTAATCACGCGCGGAAGCTTTCACTGTGCGTTTAATACGCCGGAAAGCGTTTTCCAGATGCTCTCCCTCTTAAAGCATCGAGACACGAACGATGCGACACGAGGTGTCTCCTGTCTCCGCAATATACGTCCGCTTCCGTAAAGTACAATAGCAAACGTTGTAATTACTACTTTAATCCATTGAATGGAACAACTGATGAGAGGATATCTGGCTTAAGGGAATTCTGTCGTGCAATATGGATTCTTTATATTTGTTACATTTCTACCAATAGACGTGAATCTCCTAAAGCAATTCTACCAAAACTGAAAATAAATTAAAAGACTTTTTGTAACCGAATCGTTAAAATCTATGAATTGTAGAAAGTTTTATAGCTTTTAATTATATTACCAATTTTTATCCATGCGATTGAAAATAGAAACGAGAAATTTGAATATCAAAGATATTCAAAATCCATTCTTGCTTTTTTTTTTAAATTAATCACAGCAGTTTTAATATCAATTAAATACAGATAATTAAATTTAGCACCTTTGTTAAATCAGAATATCAAGATAAAAAAATATTTTCTGGATTATTATTTGATAAATCAAAAGCAATGATAGATAACGAAATTTGCAATTCATCGCCCAAAGGCATAAATATCACTGACATCGTTCTCATAGTTTATTTGACTTACCGTAACCGAGTTCCTCATAGCGCCTGCAGTATTCTAATACTGTACGAAATATGCAGATAGTTGAGGTAACGTATATTGCAATACAATGACACGTGAAGCTCTCGCAACTTCGGTGCAACATCTGTTGACCCCCTACGGCGCGCGACCCTTTAGACTCCTTGGGAACTTTGATATCTCGAGGGTCCTTCCGTAACAAGTGCGCACTCCACCACCACCCACCGTGAAGATGAACCGATGTATCAGAAGCCTTGATGCAAGAAGAATAGAGGAACGTCAGTTTACGGAAGATTGTCAAGCAATGCAAACGCTTACATAATAAGCGTTTCAAGTCCTTGATAAAAATGAAAGACATAATACTATATTTTCGTATTCTCTTAATTTCTCTATTTGTTTTAACGTATATTCGTATATTTTTTTATATTAAACTTAAGAATCAAAGGCATAAAATGATAAAAAATTAAATTTTCTATATAATTTCATTTAACTCTGGAATTCTACTGTAGGTTTCCTATTTACTGTAGATAAATTTCCACCTAAGTGCTAATTTAAGTTTAGTACAGTCGTTATTAAAATTTTAATAACTTATAATGACATTTAATAAAATTGTTTAAGATTAAAGTCATTTTTCTATATGAAAATATTGTTACTTTAATTATTCTATTACATCTTAATCTATAAAATAGATATAAAAGAGTGTAAAAAAATTCTTAATTATGTATAGGTGATGTATAGGATATATGAAATTTTACTTACAAATGAGTTAATGTAAGAAAAATGTGAGTAGCATTTTAAGATTAAATACGTGAGTGAGATTTTTTTTCATTTCTTAAGAAATATACACATTTTCCATTGAAATAGCTTTATAAACTTTCTCCTAAACAAGGGAATTAATAATATTGATAAAAAAATTTCTTAAATATAAATGAGTTAATAAATAATTTCCGGAAGCAATGAATAATTCTCAATAAAAAGAAAATATTTTGCATTCGACATTTAATTAATAAAAGAAGTCAATAAACATTAAAAATATGAAATTATATTGGAATCTTTTATGGATTACTTTTGTATGATTACTTGGCGAAAATTTCATTGATGACGTTAAAAGAAATCACAAAGACATTTTTACAATTTGCAAAACGATATTTTTGGATTCCAGCGAATAGCCGTAATTAAGAGGAAAGCAACAAAACGTATACGGGAGTTACCCAACATTAGCCAAAAATATCCTTGTCGCGGGTGTAAGAATAGTTTGGGACGACATAAATATTTTCGGAGTTAGTGACCCGTCAAAACTCTCCAGAACTTTGTCGAGAGACTGACGCCTTGTAAGTATTGGCATCTGGAGCGATTTGTCCAAAAAATAAACTCCAGTTATAGTTTTAATATTACATTATACATATATCATTTCATTATCTGTGAATATACTCCTTGTAAATTTGATAATGTACAATCTTTTTAATCTTTGTTTAAGTGATTACATTTGCATGCAAAAATGTTGTTCTTTTTATATAAATCATAAGAAAAATTTAACATATATATATAAGTATATATTCACTGCATTATGAATATATTCTATGAGTATTATATATGACAGGGAAAAGTCGCCGATACTGTTATAGATCTTTTTAAAATATGCATATAAATCAACAATAAACATTCTTATAAATCATATTTAATCCTCAACCACAGCTATGAAAACTAAACTGGTCTAAAACGTTCTGTTTGAAGTACAGAATAAAAGTGAATGTTTTCCGGTAATCGATAAAGAAAAATTCAAAGCCTTTTTATCTTTAATTTAGCACTTTATAATATCAATCGTACAAATTATACAATTATCCAAAAATTTTTGTTTCGGATCCAAATGATCGAATCTGTAATTAATGCGGTTAAGAACTTGTGAATGGAGATATGTTAATATATGATAATTCCATTGCAGAATATTTACGTTAAATCATTTCCACACACATAATATACATAGATGTATAAATCTACAAATCAATATATCAATTATCTGTTCACAACAAACTTTATAATGCAATTAATATTTTCATATAGAAAATAAAATTATGTAAATTCAATTATATGAAAATTATTATCAAAAGTGTCTGAAATTTCATAAATGCTTAGACAAGATTTTCAAGGTTCTTAGGATATTATTATAACCGTCATCATAACGAACAGTACCAGTGGAAGAATTCCACATTACTTTCATTCAAACGTTGTGTGTATACATTCTTCTTGTATTAGTATTTTTTTTCTATAGATCATACCGCGTTGTGAGCCAAGCTTACGAATTGACGGAATTTTCCAGAACATTGGTAAGGTATACGAATGGGGGTATTGGGGGTAAGTCGTACCGTCGTGTGATGAATCGACGCTCATTGTTCGGTACACCGTTCGTGAGTGCGAACATCACCGTAATGTCTGAATTAATATTCACAGCAGCAGGTCTGCAGAACCTCTACAAGAGTTAGATTTTTCTATAAGATATAAAGTGAAAAATTGTAATTAAATTACTCACTCGTGTATACATAAAATCTATAAGTTTCTTTGAAAAGTAAGTAAGAGTTTATATTAAAAAATCATCTCTTTAATAATTAGATATGAAAGTTAATAGTCAGACATAAAAATGGAAGAAACGATAGCATTGATTAAATCATGCATAATTTCGAAGAAAGGCGGTGTACCAATTACAGATCTAAATGGTAAGAGTATTATTATTTTTTTGATTTAATTATTATTTTAATTTATATATTGTTAATAAATATTTGTATATAAGTAAAAAATATTAAACATATTTTAATATTTTCTTTATTTATATTAAATGTATATTATTATTTTCTTTACACACATATAAATAAATTAAATATTCTCTCTCTCTCCCTCTCTTCTCAATTAAAAAAAATCTTAGATTGATGAATAAACGCTTTGTGCTAATATAAGTATGACTGATTACTCCTATTTGTTTAAATAAAATTTGTAGAATATATCTCTTCTCAAATAAATTAGTTCACAAGCTGATTTCTTTAAGATTAATTTAAGAAATTGAAATGAAAATTACATTAAAATAAAATATTATAAAATTACTGTAATAATAAAATGATTTTATTATTTAAATCTGATAAAATATTAATTTATAAGAATATATCAGATTAAAAATTTTATACCGTACAAGATTATAAATTTAAGAATAAAAAAAGATTGCTTTTACAGATGAATTTCAAATTCTCGTCGGAGAATATATTCCGTATCGCAGATTAGGATTTTCGAGTCTCCGTGCATTTTTACAAACTATAGATGGTTTGGAGACAAGTTGGAACGATTTTGGTGAACAAACGTTAAGAATAAATGATTCTAAGATATCTCATATCGACAGACTTATACGCAAGCAAAAAATGGATTATTCAAAGACGAGAGTACGTTTATATGTAATTCGTATTTTACATAAATACGCAATAATAATTATATGGACTGAAAAGTCAAGAAATAATAACGTTTTATTTTAGAACAAATACTATAAACAGTTTATGCGAAATGGCAATCTTAGACACGACAACGATAACCGTAGAGAAAGGAACAGATTAATTTTTAATTCCAATCGAACCAATAGACGGAATCAAAATTTTGCTCAACGTCGTAATTTAAATTTATTTGGAACCAGTAAGATATTCAGTTTTAAATTTGTAGAGATAATAACATTTTACAATTTACGAAATTTTGTTCAATTTAGTTTTTATTTGTGCTTTCAGGAATTTTCTTATAGATTATACAATTTTAAGATTTTATCTGATTTATTGTTATTTCTTATTTATAACAATTTTTTATTTTATAATTTTATTTAACTCCATATTTTATAATTTAAGTTTTGGATTTTTTAATTTCATTGTAAATAAAGTTGTTTGGAATAATATCAGAGCTAGCGATCGTGTGTTTTACGAAAAAGATATTTTTTTTAATAAATAAGTTTAATTTGTTTTAGATGGCGTTTATAAAAAAGATTTTTTACATTCAGAAGAAGAAAATCATCATCCGATAGTAATAGAAACAAATCAAGTGAAAAAACATGTGAGTGTACTGTTAAACTTATTGTGCGTCAAGTAAAATTTTTTGAAAAGTATCGCAAGGTATTTAATGCTTTTTATGTTAATTATAACAGGACAGCATATATGAACCTATTGCAAACGGGCAACAATTACTCGGCGACGATTTCTTTCTACAGCTTGCGATACGAAATTTACATCTTCCTATTTGGAGATATAAGGGTATAATAAATAGTTTCTTTACAAAGTTTCTTGCAAGTCCCGTTTGTATTAAAATCTAAGAGTTGGTTTTGTTATAATTCTTTTTCTACTTAGAGAGAAGAAAATTACATTATTTCTTAAATTATTTAAAATTACATCATTTCTTAAATTATTGTTATCAAAAAGTAGTTAAAAAAATATGGAATAAATATATTAAAATAACTTTCAAGACAGAAAATAAATGTTATAAATTAAAATAAAAGCTGTAAATTTTGTATTTCATTATTACTTTGCAGATAGCTTAGCATTACATTGTGGATTGTGTATCTCCGGACAGACTATTAGCGACTGTACTCGGGCTTTGAGAAATATTAATACCATTTCTAATCGTGTCGTGATTTTACTTGGTTCGGCTGATGTTTATAACGTAAGTTAATTTGACTTTGCTCTCCTCGTATATACAGATTGCACGCAGCTAAACGTATCAAGAAGTAAATTGAATGTAAATATTATCTAATGTGTGATGCTTACTCTAGGACAAATCTCTGAAAAAAATGACAACATAGGGGGGGATATAGAAAGCCTTTGATAAATTGAAATTCATTATTATGTTTGTATTTGTAAAATACAACAAAATCAGATTTTCATTAAATATTCGATTTTCTTCAGAACGCCACTTGCGAGGAAATGGTATACGATATGACGGAACTCTTGCAAGTCCTCCGGTCTAAATTTCATCTTTCAAATACAGCCATCACTATCTGTACTCTTCCACCTTTGGCTAACCTTAGCATTTACGCTCATAAGAATCAAAGTATGGCGTTGCTTTCCTTCAACAATTGGATAAGATCTCTGACGGATGATCCGTCTAAAAGAGATCCGTCTTTTATCAACTATTCTGTAATAGATTTATACGAAAAATTCTGCTTTGATGAAACGTACGTCACAAACTACGATTGGTATCAAACGTAAGTACATCAAGTAATTTAGTTTCTTCTAGATTTACAATCTTTTATGTTTTTTTCATCTGTTTAATACTTTTATCAGTTTAATTCTTCCGTCTGTTTAAAATTAATTGTTGCTTTAACTATCAAAATGTTTTAAAAGTTCTTGAATTATAATCGTTCAAAAAAAAATTGGTTCTTGCAATGTAAATTTTTCATGAAAGAAAAAATAAAAAACAAATTTTTTATCTTACTTAAGTTCAAATAACATGTTCATATATAGAATTTTAATTTAAAGCTTGATTATGGAAAAGTATGATATTAAAAGAAAAATTTTATTGAAAAACAATTTTTATATACATATAATTTTGTAAATATTCGTTTTTCATGTATAGTAAATAATTTTATATCTCATACAATACGTTTATTGGTGATTTTTAGCCAAGCGCGTAGAGTATCCGGCACCAAACATTCCTATGTGCTGTGGAACATGAAGGGACGAAAGCGAGCTATAAGCCTCATCTGCGAAGAGGAAGTCACAGATCAATCCAGAAGTCCCAGCTCGTTGTCGATGCAATGAGTTCTCTGGGATCTTCTGTATATATAAACGCCCTATAAGAAAAGAAGCAGAACGATACCATAGAAGCCTTATTCGTCGTTTACGACGAAGAACGCTTTATTGAGGAACATCTATGTGTATCCTCCTGCTTTCTTCGTAGATGTGTGCCTAAATATCGCAAACAAGTCCTGATTTATGTTCGAGACTATTCTGTCTATTAAGAAAAAAAAAAATTGTATAACATCATCCGGATCAATCGTTTCATTGTCTAATGTCTAATCGAGCAGCCGTTTCGCACGAGAAATTAGTTCAACGAACAATCGCCGGATATACGGTCCCTGCTTTACTATAAAGTAACTAAGCAGGAAGAGGTAATACATATGTTTTGTACACACATGTGTACAAATGTAGTTTAAATATCTCTGTTTTCAAATAGACGCCAAGTTAATCGGCAAATTTAATTTCGTTTATTCACGTCTCAAGGAAATTGTTATTGACTCACATCAGTCTTCTTTCAATTTAAATGAAGTATTAAGATATCTCCTATTCGCGATTTAGAGTTTACCCGCTTCACGGCATGGAAATGATTAAACAACAGTTCGATAACAAGCTCGTGTTTAAGTATTGAAAAAGTATGGTGCATTTTTATAATTAAATGCGGGTAATTTAAAAATGACACGCATACTTTCTTTTTAAAATCTTAACTTTTCTTAGTAAATGAAATGTACGAGCGAATTTTAATCGCATTCCTTGCCACGAGTTTAAGATTCACTTTTCTGCGATTACATAGTTTCCCACATTTAAATAGCAATTAAATTGATGTAAAAGATTCATTTCTCTATCAATTTCTGAATATTACAATTATCATAGATTTAATAAAGGTCAATTATTTTCAACGTTAATAAATTAACGTATTTTCATGAAACATGATCAAACGAAATTTAATAAATTACAATTATGTGATATATAAACTCTTATAAAGAGATGTAATTATGAGAAGGAATATTCAAAGAGGTGCAGATCACGTTTTTCTTTATGTGTGTGTGTATGTAAATTATTTAATTGTTTGAAATATTAGCTTTTATAATGTATTTTAATAAGTACTAGCGTTTTACATGTGTTTAATATGTGCAAGCAAGTTTAAAAAATATAATATTACGTTAAAAAGAAATTGAATAGTAAATTAATTTCATAGTTCAAATGAAATTGAATTATTTAAAAGTGATTATTATCATAATGCCAAATTCCAATTGCGAAGAAAATTTATGGAATGAGCAAAATAATTGATTTTGAAAATCATTTCTTTGATTAAGGCTTAGGAAAAATAGCCTTCATGATTTAAAGAACGGAGAATTTTTAATTTCAAAGTTTATAAATTGAAAATGTAGCGTGTTCAAATCAGTCTTGAATCATCTTTAGGAATGAATGCGAGAGGTCTTTTAGCGGAAAGAAAAATATGTTTATTGATATAATAAGACGTGCAATAAAAAGATTGTGATAGTAATTGTTAGAGATTGTAAATGGTATTAATAACACAATATAACACGCTATAAATATGTAAATTCAATTTGTAATTTTGATAATGTATATGATAAATAGACGCGCGCGTCAATTGTAATGGGGTGCACGTATTGTGATCAATAAATCACGAATACATATAATTCATTTATCTTTCTTCTATAAATCCTACTTTAGACGATCATCATATAATTCGCGTTAGAGATTTTACAGGATAGAATTCTATTTATAATTATTATAAATTATTCTAGAAAATAATTAATTCAAATAGAAAGCTAAATCTTCTAATTAGAAATCAGAGATAATATCAGAGATAACATCTTTATCCACTTGTATAGAAATGATATATATCAGCACTGGCTAATTAATCATTTATATTTTGAGTAATGAAAATGTTATTATTAGTGTTTTTAATACTGAAAATAAGTGACTTATAATTGACCAGTATTAGTGTTAACTAAATTTCTATAAGGGTAAGTTAATAACATTTTTTAAATTGTCATTAACTTTTAAATAATTAATAATCTATTAAAAAACTTAGCTTTAGTCAAAAATTTTACACATCCTTTTTCAAAAATGATCATCATTCATGTATCTTCTTTGATCACAAAATTATGAGAATACATATTCGATATATCTGTTTGGAAATAAGAATAAGTAAAAGAGAGAGGGGAATCTAGAATGTGGACATGCGCGGGAGCCACCGGCGAGGGTAAAGTATAAAGTTTAGATTTCAGACATTTCGGTTAGCCATCGTAGGGGATTGTTGTGTAGGTGTAGGAGGATCGGAGAGAGTAACAAAGTTATATCCGTGCAATGAAATAAAAAGGACGTTATAATATATAAGAACAATATAGTAAGTAATAATATGATTAAAAAAGAGTGGTTAGGAGATTAATCTAAGATGAAATATCTGGGAAAGAGATATATACATTTACAAAGGAATAATTGAGGTTAGGAATACAGGGAAGAGATCAATCTCCTTAATTAAGATAATTATTGTATATATGTATATAATTATTAAACATCTTATTTGATTGATATAAATTAAGCGCAAAAATAAATGCAAATATTAATCTTTCAACAAATATATATCATTTATCGTCATTGTAAAATATTATTTAGAGAAATTCATATAATTTAATTTTTTGGTGTATCCTTCTTTTGATAAAAATTCTAATAATTAAGAGAATATAAGTAATTACTAAATTTTATTTGAAAGAGTCTATCATTTTAGTAAAAAATATGCTGTCTTTCACAAAATGACTATATTTTATATATACTTTGTAAAAGATATACAATTTTTATACAAAAATGTTAAATTTTATTTTTATTTACAACATAAATAATTCAAAAATATGTGTGCAGATAAATATGAGTGCAATTTCCACTGGTAATTATCTAAAGAGAGATCTGAGAAGTATGTTTGCTATACGAAACAACTGTATTAATGAAGAAACTACATTCTGTCAACAAGATAATTTACATCAGTCTTTGAATACACTGAATGAAGTAATGAGATTATAGACATAGCCAATAATCTTATTAAAATATGCGTATGTTTGATATTAATTGATGTCTAAATCTATAGGAATTTGAATCATTCGGTATCTCATCGGTAACCATAAATAATGATTTGCAAACCTTAGAATCATTGAAAGACCTATCTGTACAAGTAATAAATGCTGCTTGGAAAATGATACATAAACATAGATACTTAATGCGATTGCACGATCAATTGATTGATTTAAATCATAAAACTGTTAATGATAATGTTAATCTTAAGGTAAGTTTGCTTTTACTTAAAACATGAATAAGTACTGAGACATTTTATATTATTTCACGCTGCACAGTAAAATGATTGGTAAGTATGTGAAAATTAAATATACTACTTATTATATAATTTTAAATTGTAGTGTTCAATTATAAATTTATTTGTAGAATCATGTAAAGCGTCTAAAGGAAGATATACAAAAGAAAGAAGATATGATATGTAAAGCAGAGGAAAGAGAAAGAAGATTAAATGTTAAATGTGAGGATGCATCACGTAATCTGAAGAAGGAAAGAGACGAGGTACGATTTGTTTAAAATAAAACTGGTATTGATTGATTTGAATAATTTACAAAAATTAAAATATAATATCTGATATACAGATACGAAAACTAAAGAAACAAGTTCAGTTTAAAGAAACTCAACACGAGCATGAAATAAGAAGAATCACGCAGAGTAGTCAGAAGCTCCAAGAGCAGTTACAAAAGTCTGCTGGTTAGTAAATATCACGTGTTTGTTATTAATTTTTTTTTAATGTGCGACTTTATGTTTTTTTTGTTCTGTATTTACGTAATATATACAATATTATAATATACAGAGTCTATCTGAATTTTAATTAGTTAATGAATGGCTTCATTATTCTCAAATAAAATTGTTTTTATACGAAGATGAATGCAACCAGTTCAACTTTGTTGCATAGCGAATTGCTTAGTAGCCAGGGATTAGCATTCAACTTGTTATATAGTTATAGAAAACACTTTGTATACATGTTACATAGAACATGTTTGGTGCTTAATGCATACCGTCTCTAATAGTACAATTTATTAACGCAATATTGGTCTAACATATCTTCAATATTAATATTTAGCGAATATATCGTCGATGAATTGTGCTAATAGAGGTGAATATGATCATAATCATATACTATGTGATAAAATTCGAGATAATGTACAATGATTTTTTTGCCGGTATAGGTTCTTTTACACCAAGAGATAAATTATTACAAAAAATGCATGAGAAGGAGCTAATTTCATACAAACAAACTATTTGTCGTTTGGAAGAAAACAATAGGCATATGTTGGAAGAAATTAATAATCTGAAAGAAGCGCTGGAATTACATAAAACTGGAATTGCTTTACATATTGAAGCATCTGGAGTTTGGACCAATGAAGATATTTAAGCATCAGATGTAATTGATATTTATAATTTATTTATAACTTGGACGATGAAAAAGTGTGTACAATTATTAACGATTGTGTATATTCCTAATAATACAGCAATACGGATTTTTGTGTTAATATCGCTTTTTGTAAACAGAGCTTTAAGTAGTTTGAATAAGTTTTGTTAATTTGTATATTAAAGTATATTAGAAAGATTTTGTTTAAAATTTTTAAATGAAATAAAGGTGCTTTGTGATTTCCTAACTCATATATACATTTCATGTTTTAACATAGATCTATTCTCTTTACTTACTCTTTTCCTTCTTACAATTGTAATTAAATGAGCAGTAATTATATTTTTGAAAGAATAAGAATATACAAATCAATCAAAAAGAAACCGGACTAGGCCTATAAAAATTTGAATATTTACTTAATTAAATTTAGCTATTTTCAAAGTAGTAGGTTCCTTTTACATATATAACTAATATTAAACAAAGAATAGATTGAGGATTAAATGGAAGATAAAAATGTTTTCCTCTATAGCTCATAAAGGAAAACCAAGTGATTGGAACATCATAACGTAATACTTATTATTTGATTTTTCGTTTTTCACAGAAAATGTAAATATCATTATTTATCCAGTGTTATTATCAAATTTATTTTTGTTTTTCTTTATATTTCTCTATATAAAATTCTTTGTATCACATGTGGAATCGTAGAATCCAAAAATGAATTCGAGTTTTTCGTTTAACAAACAACTGCATTTTATCACTAATTGTAAGTTATTCAGTGTCTCTACAGTATATGATTTAATGTTCAAAAATATCTAAATGCTGTTTATATTATTAAAGTTATTTTATATTTTGATCACAATATTGAATCGAGATTGACTTTTCACGAACCAGTTTTATATAGTCAGACTCAGATTATAAGATCATATGTTGGTATTACAACATAGTGAAGGCATCAAAGATAGCGTATAAATATGAACTCTGTTAACAAGAAAACGTATATTGTATAGACGTGGATAAGACACGAAGCCTGTCCGCTACTTATTGAACATTTGCAGTTGCCTGCTTTGCAAACCGTATTGTTTCGAATCGTGAGAAATTCCGTGAGAGGTTCTCCACGCTGATCGTTTCCTGGATAAGCTATTTCATTCGGTAGTCTGTTATCTGTGCTATCGATGCTCCTCGAACTGAGCCTTAGAGTGCTCTTGCCATCCGCGCAAATGCCGTTTATCACGATGGCAGTCGTGGTTACCAAGTTCATGCTCACATTCGAAAAAATGTTGTTTTTCACGATGGCGACATCGCCTTGGATGGACATTAGCCCCGGTTTCTGCATTTCGAACTTGGAGCCAATGATCTCGATGTTTAAGAAATTGGCGAAATTCAAGGTTTCCATGACATTATGCAGCTTACTGTTCACTATGCGCAACTTCGTGCCCTTCTCGGAAACGTTTAGGCAGTATACCCGCTCAATCGTAACGTTCCTCATGATGAAATGCGAGATATTGATATAGGCAAACTCTTCCTCAAGAGTTTCGATGAACGCATCCTCGATCGTAAGCGTATCAATAGCTTTCAAATTCGTGAATGTGTGGCTCGCTATCATCGGTATCCGACCAATGTTCGAAAGTTTCAACAGTTTCATATGACTTGACGATAAGAAGACGTCAAAATTCAAGTTGCCACTGATATTTTGAACTATTACTTCCTCGATATTACTCGCCTCCGGAAAACTGGAGTAATGGAGGTTCGCTGAAACGCATCCTGTGACCGACACACTGAGAGTGTTCATGTAATTGTATGCTTCTGGTAGAAAAAATTCCTAAAAAATTAAATCCAATTAAGCGCACACTACACTCTCAACTATTTCACACTTATCTTGTGTCCTTCCATCTTCAGGAGACACGATAGTATCTCAGCGATAAGACAAGCGATGCGTCATGACGCGAGACATTGCCGTGCTTCTTTTATATTTTATTTCAACATTTTTACGAAGAGATAATTATCACCACGTACACTGTTTGATAATGTTATTTCAAAGCTAATAAAAAAAGTAGGACGAAAAGAAAATCGCCGTAAAAATGTTGAGATTTCTAATCCTGATCTCGCAAAATAAGTGAGAACGATCAATTAAAATATTAGTTTAAATTATAAAATAAATTTATCATTCTACATTGGCAAGTGACTGCTTATGACCCTTATCAAAAAATAGACGTGTTGATAATTATATAGTTATAACATCTTGCATAACGTCATCCGTCTATATGATGCTATCAAAATCAGCTGCAATTTTTGTAGGAGAAGACAATGTCTTCTCCTTAAATGAAATTTCTTCAAACGAAAATATTCGTCGTCCTTAATACTTTTATTGCTTTATTCTTTCAAACAATAATTGTTTTAGAAAATTAATTTTATCCATATTATTAAATACTATTGGGATTTAGTTGAAGTCACTATAAGTTCGTTATTTATTGCTGAACTGCACTAAAACTTTTCATTTTTATTAAATATCAAAAATGTACTTATTTTACTTTAAATATATAAAGAGTGTACATACATTAAGTCAACTATAAAAATCAGATATATCCTCTTATATATATAGTTTTAGAGGTTCTAGATATTCGATTTGAAGTTATTGAAATTGTCGCAAAATACGTTTGTGTCTTTCGATCTTAAATCTTACAATGTAGACGAAATTGTTTTCTTTTTAGTTATATTTAATTAAAAAAATTAATTATACACTGCCAAGGAAGAGTTTGACAAGAGTTTGACTCAAACTTGACTATAATCAAAAGTATAATCTCTTGTAATTCTTTCGTCATTGTAAAAATATTTGTAATTCTAAAATTACTAATTCCCTAATATTTTTGCAAAAAAAAATAATTGACATTCATTACATCTGCACAAATTGGCGATTTATTTCAAGATTGTCCTATGCATAAATATTTATTGAAACGAAATACAAGTAAAGTGCAGAGATTATGGCGATATGATAATAAAGATGTTAATCAGTATACCTCGTTTCCGATGCAGCTACACGTAATCCACCTTTCATTATGAACTTGGCATTGTTCGTTGATATTATTTGCAGTTGCGAACAATACTGCAATGAGTATTACAGCGAGTAGGGTCATTCCCATATTCAACGTACACGCTGTATATCTGAGCATAAAATCTCACCATCGATTGTACTCGCGCTAAAATTAGAAAGGGAAATGTTTCATTTCTGATTGATAAGAATATATACACAACTGGATTATTCTATGACTAAAAGGGGCTTTTCCTTTTAAATGGACAATAAATGGTTTTTTATTAAACGTAGATATGTGTATTACGAATAAATATTAATTATTTGCAAGTAAATGAGAATTAAAAGCGAACATATTAACATGTTGATTGCTGAATATGAATTATTTTGTAATTTGCAATGTACAGAGAAGCGACAATTATGAATTATCATGTAGCTGATATTTAGGACACAATGTTAAATATGAATGCTCTCATAAATGTAATAAATGTGATAAATATAAATAAAAAATATTGTCTAAAGTAGAAACAAAAAATTATTCTGGTGTCACAGAACAGAATTTTTATTGATACAAAGCATTAATGCAAAAAGCTTCTATAACAGAACATATTTTTAGAGATAATAATAAAATTTTATTATGAATTTTGATAAAAAATAGATATAATTAAATAGCATATTAAATATATATATATATAGTATACTCATATAATTTATACTTTAATATTTACAAGTTATTATAATACAAGTACATTAAGTTTGATAGTAATAAAAGATAACATATTTTTATATATTGGGGACAAAAAATGAAAAAGAAATGCTCTCACCATACTTTTGAATTTGGCAGTTTTCCGTACAGTAAAACTAAACTTTATAGATTTCCATCGTCGTCTTTGTACTTAAAATCCGTTTT